ATTTCAGCGTCCTCCCCAGGCACACACATCAGCTCCACCTCTCATCAAGCACAATGCAGTACAAAATACGGATTTCCATGAGCACCCATAGCCAGGGGCCCCTGCACCAGACAGCACCGACAGAACATTTCAGCCGTCACAGTGTGCTATCCAGTGGGCTCTCCAGTGTGATGAGGTCTTGGGGTTGGGCCCGCTCTTGCAGGGAGGGCTTTGGGCGGCCGGACATGCAGCACAGGGTCTCCAGGGCTTCCCTCCACAAACGTGGAGGGCAGAGCAAAGGGAATGGCGGAACCACCTTCTCCTGGCCCCACGAGGAATGTCACTGAAAACCTCCTCATCTTGAAATAGAATAATAACGAACAATATGGTGAATGGCTGTTTCTGGAACAACAGGTCTACTTTAATCATGGTGACACAGTATATTTAATTCCTCGGAATCACATCCTTGATAGGTGGAATAAGGTATAACGTGTACTACAGAAGCTTAATGCTGGGAGAAACCCTGGACCCAGGACCTCCTCACCCACAAGCACCTTTTCTGGGGGTGGGCATGTGATCCACCTGGCACCGGGGTCAAGCCCAGGACATACTCACAGGAATGTGTCAAGAGCCTGTAGTGCAACTATAGGCTGTGTGCAGGGCAGAGGATGCTACACACACACACACACATACAAACACACACACACACACACACACACACACACACGGCAAGCGTCAGAATAAGAAAAGGCATGCAAAAGGATCTTAGACAAAGCACAGCCTATTAATGACAGCAAGGCCATCCCTCCCTCCAGAGTACAATGGGCAGTCACCCCACACGGACTTTGAGAAGCATGTGTTTTTCACTGGGTGTCAAGTACATCCTGTTTTCATAGTAATCCACACACAGATTCCCGATGTCAGCGAGGAGCTCTTCATAGCCAGAAATCACTTCGAGCTGTTGCTGCAGAGACTGACACACAGAGCAGGAGACCTGTGCCATGGTCTGCTCCTGGCCCGGGTCCCCCGCCCCCCAGCCATGCACCCTGCCAGCCAGAGTGGGGAGAGCGTGAGCCTTACTTGTGTGATCTTGTTGTGGTTGGCCAGGAACATGGACAGATTCTGAGATTCCTGGATGGACTGTGGGTCCGCCATTTTCCGCAAAAACTGAGCAGCCCTTTGAAAGCAAAAAACAGAGTCACTCAACCAACATGCTTAATGATGAAAAAAGAAAAAAGCCTGGGAATTCAGGATTATTTTACTCTGCCTACAGTTATCTGTAGAAATGTGGGTCTTAACTTCAGCCTCCTCTAGCTTCTCCATCTTTAACTCCAGGGCAGTCTTTTGCCGACCTGGACAGCTCATGACCCAGATGTCCAGAGCTGACAAACTTCCTCAGAGACGTGGCAGCACCACCCACAGGCCTTTCTGAAGGGCCCCTGCACACTGCCCTCTGTCCTGGGCTCCCTGTCCCCGGGTCTGAGAAAGGCCACCCCCTCTTCTGTGACTTCTAGAGCCCGGTGACGAGGATGGCAAGCACCATTCATGCTCTCTGCTGGGAACCCTCTGGGCCACCATGCCTCCAAGTTAGGGACCATACACCGTTTTGATGCCAAAGGTCTGAGACAGAATCCTGGTCCCTCCACTAATACACAGCTCCATCTTGGACAAACCTCCTGAACTCTGCTGAGCCTCATTCATCACATCAGCAACTAACAACAGCCGCCCATCCGACCGCCCACAGGACTGACATGAGAACAGAGATGGAAAGGCGCACAGAAGGACCTGTAGACTGAGGTCTGATCGTGCTGTGAGGCACGTACTGAGTCTCTGAGTTCGTCAGAGCAGTGTCAAGGTGAACGTGAGGATTCGGCACATAGCCTGCCCACATAAGGACATGTCTATGCAACCTAGAAACTTGGGGTTTTTACTGATAGAAGACTGATAACCTACTCCAATAGTCACTTCTTCCCTGCTTTCTTAGGAATAAACTCCCAATTTTCATGCGGTACCAATGTGCCTCATCTCCACATGACCGATGGCTGAGCCATGAGACATAATGAAAAGTCTTGCAAGGCACTGGAAAGTTTTTATAAAGGAGAGTGTGGGCCCTTCTATTCTTCTTCCTCCTTGTTGACTGGAATGCAGAAATGACAGCTGGAGCTTAAGCAACCATCTTGAAACATGAGACAACACATGAAGACAGCAGAGCAGCAGGACAGCTGGAGTCCTGGGTCCTGAACACTGTGGAACCCCCTCATCAGCTGCAGATCACCCAGCTCAGGACTTTTCAGGTGAGAAAGAAAGAATCGGAAATCTTGTTTAAGGCACTGTTATTTCTCTAAGTTTTTAAGAATTACATACAGTTAAACTAACATTAACTAATACAGTCACATTCCTTTTCAAAGTGTTCACTTTATTGATCTGAGTGGCTGCTGAAACTAAGGAAGGGATCAAAGATGCTGTTTTCTTTTTCTCAAGCCTCACGATAACCATATAGGTTATCTTGGCATTTACACTCAGAAGAGGATGTACTGGTAGCTACCAGCTGGGTGCAAATAAAAATTGTGTTGGAGTGGGGGTGTGTAAAGACTGGGGAGGAGTAGGGGTTACTGTCTGGGAAGGGGAACCAACAGGGGGTCCCAAACAGAGGTCACAGGACGAGGCCGCTGGAAAGGATGAAGGGGTAGCCCAGGCCCTCTCAGTGCTCAGGGGAGCCTCAGGTGGTAAAGACCCCTGTGGTTCCTGGAGGGGGTGCCTGGGGCCCCCACAGCCTTCCACAGAGCAGCCCCATCTTTAAACTATTTTACAGACTGGGCTTTGGAATAAAAGTGCTGCTGCCGAGAAAAAAGAAAATCTTTTTGAAATGAAAAACCACTGATGCTGTCCACCATCCCCATCTCCCCGATAAAGTCAGAAAGGCTAAGAAAGCTGCTCAGAATCATAGCAAGAGATTTGTTCAGCCAGGAGCAGACGCTGCTCTCCTAGGCTGGGCTGGTTTCACCCTCCACCTCTCAGAAGACCCCATGCTCTGCAGAGAGTCACACACACTTGGAGTATCACAAACACTGTCATCAGATGGGGACAACTGCAGAGTTTCCCACCCAAGAGGGGTAACAGGCCAACTCCAAAGATTTCCTGGGTTTGAAGATCCAGGCTTCTGCCCAGAGCTGATCCTAGGTGATGAATGGAATGCCTGTACTTACTCACTTGAATAAAGCTTAAAATGCTAGGGACCTAGCTCAACTCCCACTGCCGCCTTATCCTCAAATCTAGGTTTGGCACTGTATCCCAAGTCGATTTTATTTTAAAGACGCAACAGTTGTATGATTTTTAGATGCAACCTAACTACAGTGTATTCAGATGCAAAGTAAACTCTTCAAATTTAATTTCATAGCCAAGATTCCTTGTCTAACGGAAGAAACAGATGTCAGCATCTCCTTCAAGCCAATCATGCCTTCAACAGTACTGAGCATATTTTCTAAGAAAGTTGATCGGAAGACAGCTGACTCTGCTCTGACCAACGGCCTTCCTTCTGCCTGCCACCAACTGCCCCTTCATGGTTTTTCAGAAGTGCACTGCTGTGCCATGCCCAGCTTTTCCAGTTCTCTTCTCCAGAAGTTCTTCACGTTCAAAAAGAAAACCACCCTGGAGGAGAGCTGGTCCAGGACCTGGAAGCTCCAGCTCTGCCACTGCTGTGACGGACATCCTACCAGTGAGTGATGAGCAGAGGGGGCGCCCTCAGGCCACAGAACCCACCTGCCCCCTTGTCAAGATGCTCACCAGGCCAAGGCCCTGCAGCGACCCCAGCACTCTGAGAGCAGGGACTGGTCGTTGCGCTTCTGTCTTCCCAAGGGTGCTGAGCACCCAGAGGTCCTCAACAAACACTTGGGGATGACGAGGATGCTCAGATCCCACTCTAACTTCACGAAACCATAATATACACATGTCTATGAGGACACAGCGCTGCACTGCAGCGCAAACAATCTGCTGGCTACCCCCACCTCCTAAGGGTGTGTATTCAAACAGTTCGAAGACTGCTGAGCAACCACTACCAACCCATAGCGCTTATTTCAGAACACATGGGATGGGCACCAACTATGTGCAGGACAGCCAACTGATGAGGCACCATCCCACCTCCCCAGCACTATCCACGTGGCCCAAAGGCACAAGGCCAAAGCTCACCTCTTGTATGCTGAGTGGTCGTTCTTCACACTGCACTTCATGTTCTTCAGCTCATCCAGCACAGCAAACATGTTGATGAACTTGCCCAGTGTGATCAGGTAGGCCTCAGACACAAAGTCCTTCCTCCTCTCCGTGTGGCACAGGCGCCTCACCTCCCCACAGAAACGCTCAATGGCATTTCTCTGCACAAACGAAGGAAGGCAGAAAAGCCACTGTCAATGATAGGCTGACTCCACGCTCAGCTTCAAGCACAGAGTCTGGATTCACTGTTACTTGTTGATAAAATATACACCCAAATGAGTGGATGTTTGCAGCTCAGGTCAAAAGACATGTTTCTATAAAGTAATTCCCACACACCAATGACAATCACGATTTATTCTGTACTTTTCTACTTTACCAACTACTTCCCTAAAGTAAAAAAATTGTGTTGATTATTCAGCAAAGTCACTGAGCAAAATGCTCCAGCAGAATGTTTATAAAGAGATGTTTTAACTTTCAGAGGTGAAAAAAGTGAGGGGGAGTTTTCTTCTGGACGATATTTAAGATAAAACAAAAATTCATCTGCTAACAAGTTCTATCTTCTCCCTTTGCTAAAGGAGTCTATAAGAAAAATTTTCTCACATGTCCAAAGCACATCTTTAAAAAGCCAGCAAGTCCCCTCCCTCTGGCCACTTTGCCTAACCAAAACGCCAGAGGAGCCAAGGCCAAGGTAGGGACCACTGGGGTGGACAGTCAGGGCGAGGATGAGAGAAAGAAACACCTGAGAAACCAGATGGATCCCAAGTAGGACTGGCAGAAGGACAACAGTGCTCGGAAGGATAGAAAGCAGCCTTCGTGGAGGAAATGTGAATTCACTCAGAGAGAAGAAAAGTGAAATGCAAGAGAAGTATCTATTCTGAAAGAGCCAGTGAGGTTTTAGACCATCAACACCTTAGTTCCCTTTTATCTCAGAGGCTGTGTGGTTGTTTTAATTTACATGTGCTTTGTTCTTGGGTCCACAGTGATAGATGAGATAGCGCTAGCATCCCTACTCCTCTGCATTAAAGCTTGAGGATTACAGCCCTGTTTTACCTGGAAGTACATAAAATTCATCAGTTTTGTGACCTCAGGCTCGAGGACCTCCACAGTTTTCTCACAAATTTCCACTCTGTTAGGCTGCTCATTACATTTCACCTGGGGAAAAGCAAGGTAAAGAGGCTTCAACCCAGCTGGGAGTGAGAGACAAGGCCACTGTTAGAGCTGGGGTCCCAGGCGACCAGTGGGTATGGGGGTGTGGTATGGGTGGGGCAGGGCTGGAAGGGATAGAGGTGTGGTGTGTTTCAGATGAAGACATGGTCTGTGGGATGAGGGAGGGGCTGGGCTGGGCTGGGCAGGCAGGAGTAGGGTGTGGCCAGCAACGTTGGGGGCACCTGTGGGATGGCCCGAGAGCAGCTCCTCCAGGTGTACAGCATGACAGCATACTCTTGGCCTTCCTCCAGCATCTCATTCTGCAGGGGACATAGGGCAAATCAAAGGCACGCAGGGGAACAATCATAAACAAGAAGATGCCAAATTGCTAAAATCTAGACGCATAAACTACCCTGACTCTCCCTGAAGGAACAGACAAGCACAGGACATGCATGCCAACAGAGCTGCCGAGAAGCTAGTGATGCCACAGTGCAGTGGTGTGGCCACAATGATGGCCCAAAACACCCCTAGGTTTCTGCAGGCTGGAGAGGGGTGTCAGCGACCGGCAGGCACCTTTGCACGGGGCCGCACAGGGCATCCACCACAGCTGCTACACTGCAGCTCCACTCAACCCTAAACCACCCACTGGCAATGCATACCTGAAGGTGGGGACACGGGGGAGGGCCCAATGCATTGTGAATGTGCACGGGGTCCTCACAGGCTCTCCACCAGGCCACACAGAGTCTCCTGGCTCCTAAGGAAGACTGAGGGAGCTCTGCTGTTCCCAGTGTGGGCAGGAAAAGCTAGAAGTGTTTCTGCAGTACTTAAAATCCAGAGAATCCTTGGGAAGAGGACTACCGTCATTTTAAAACTACCTTAGTGTCTACTCTTCTTCCACATTATTTCCTTTGATAAAAACAATAAAAAGTGCAGAGATGTTCTTGAAAATGTCAACTACAGTTTGATGGTTTTACAATGCCTTAAAATATTTCTCAACCTTTCACCCAGTAACTTCTCTTCTACAAATCTAGCCAAAGAGAATAATGATGTATTTAGAAAAATGTTCATCACGGCACTTTTTATTATAAGAAAAAAGGGAAACTAAGTAAACATGCAAAAATAGTTAAATTGTGGGCATTTACAATATGTACCAGCCATTAATTACTTTAGCACATTTTCATGACGTGAAAATGTTCCCGAAATCATTAAAATACACAATTATAATAACACCGCAATTGACTTATGCAGTCTAAATCACATAAGTACCTGGCATGACAAGTAAAGGTATACAAGTAGGAGAGAGAACGGATTCCCTCAAAATACTGAGAAAGGTTCTCTCTGGGCCATAGGTGCTAAATTTTCAGAGAGCATGCATTGTTTTTATAATAAGAAAAACACAGGTTTTTCTAAAAGCATAAGGCATTTCATTCAGTTTCCTCTCATTTTCCTCACTACGTATCCCATCAGAATACCAAAAACACATACATTTGCCATTCAGAGTTGCTATTCCCACAAGGAAAACAAAGATGTGCGGATGGAATTACCATGCTAGAATGGACAGTCGCCTGTTCGATGTATCTTGCAATGCCAGTGACAAATGCATTTCTGTCTTCAAAGTTAGTGTTGAAATTTGGCTGAAAGGAAGAGAAAAACCATCATGTGGGGGTCGGCATGGCAGGCAGTGCACCCGCGGCGCCCAGCACACACCTGGTATAGCAGTGAGGATGGTGGGGGCTCAATACAGGGCTGCTGGTCAGGCAGAGGCAGCTCTTCTAGGAGATCCACGTTGGACAGCGCATCCTCCAGTGTCACCTGGGCCGCCATCCTGGCCTAGAACAAAACACAAAGCTACCTGTGCTGTGAGGAAGGGCAGGGGCACCTGACAATCCTTCTGGGATGGGGAAATCAGGCCCCCACTTGCCTGACTCCTCTCCTGAGGGCACTGGGGTGGCTGAGATGGTCACAGTCAGTCCCTGGGGTCTAGCAGCTCTCCCAGGGCTCGCTGGCAGGGGAGTCACAATGTTGCCTCTTGCCGCCTCCAGGAGTGTCATGGTGCAGGATACATGGGCCACCACATGTGCAGTCGCTTCATGCCACCCTTCCCACCTCGGGGCCACCGCTGTCCCTAAAGGGCTCTCTAGGAGGGTGTGACAACCCCTTCATGGGCTGGAGGAGGGAACATCCCCTCCAACACCACATCCGCCCCAAGGAGGCCGGCACAACCTCCAAGGGGGCTTCCCTGCACACGGATGTTTCCCAGGCAGTACCTCCAAGCAGGGTTACATGTTAGGAATGGAGATGGAAATGGCTAGAGCCCTCCCTCCAGAAGTACAGGGGCAGCCTGCAGTGACTACTAAGGTGATGGCTGGGGGCCAAGGTGAAACAGGGAGGGGGCCGTTAGCACAAGACTGAAAGCAGAACTCTGAGGCTCATGTACAGAAGCATAGAAACGGAGCAGATCTCATCTAAATACAAATCTGTGCCGGCTCTGGGGAAAAGGAGTAGGCATACTCCAGCGTGCCTCCTGCTGAATGCTGCTCCAACTCTGGATGGGACACAGAGAGTAGCTCTAATCCTAGATAAGACACATCAAGCAACTCCGACCCTGGACAAGACATGAGAGGCTGCTCTGACCCCAGACAGGACATGCAGCGCAGCCCCAACCACAGACAAGACACATGGGGCACCCACGTTGTTCCGAGAAGGAAAGAACACCAGTCAGGATGGAGAAGAACACTGAATGGAAGAAGCAGTCAATCACTCCTCCCAGAACTGGGCTCCAGACTAGGCATGGGTGTGGAAGTGCACAGAGCATCAGGTTACCAAAGCCCTGGTATGCTGGCTAGGGAACCACAAAGGGAACCCCAGGGCACTGGAAAGCCCCAGGGGCAGTGTGGAGAGGAAGAAGCTCCCAAGAGCAAGTCCACAGAGTTGCTCATGAGTGTCAGGCCCCCTCCCAAGCTGTAGGTGATGGATCTGATCCTCTCATACCATCCCTTGAGCCCACAGCCAGATCCCAGACTGCACGGGTAGCACACAGAGGACAGATCGAAACGGCACTGCAGAGGCTCTGAGAACAGAATTGATACTGAATCACAAACCAAACAAGGCAGGTTGGAACTGCAGCCTAAAATTGAACCATGTTGTTTGCCTGCTAAAATGAAAAATTAGCATTCACCTAGGATTTAAATAAGACCCATGGTCCTAGATCATTATATCCAAAACATGCAGCCGCAATGCAAACTACTCAGCACACAAAGAACCAAGAATGTCCTGACTCCTACGGGAAAAGATAAGCAACAAGGCAGGTGTTGCAATTCTCATATCAGACCAAGTGGATTTCAAAATAAGACAGGTAAAGAGAGACACAGAGGGACAATATATAATGATCAAAGGGACACTTCATCAAGAAGAAATAACGCTTATAAATATCTATGCACCCAACACAGGAGCACCAAGATTCATAAAGCAACTATTAACAGACCTAAAGGAAGATGTTAAAAACAACACAATAATAGTAGGGGACCTCAACACCCCACTCACATCAATGGACAGATCATCCAGACAGAAAATCAACAAGGAAATAGTGGAGCTGAATGAAAAACTAAAACAATTGGACTTAATAGACATATATAGATCACTCCACCCTGAAGGAGCTGAATACACATTCTTCTCAAGTGCACATGGAACATTCTCTAGGATAGACCATATGTTGGGAAACAAGACAAGCCTCTACAAATTTAAAAAAATTGAAATAATAACAAGCATCTTCTCAGATCATAGTGCTATAAGGCTAGAAATTAATTACAAGAAAAAAGCTGAGAAAGGCACAAAGATGTGGAGACTAAACAACACACTACTGAACAAGCAAATGGATCATTGAAGAAATTAAAGAAGAAATAAAAAAATACCTGGAAACAAATGAAAATGATAGCATGCCATACCAACTCATACGGGATACAGCAAAAGCTGTATTAAGAGGAAAATTCATCGCAATACAGGCACATCTTAACAAACAAGAAAAATCCCAAATAAGCAACCTTAAAGCACACCTAAATGAACTAGAGAAAAAAGAACAAATGAAGCCCAAAGTCAGCAGAAGGAGAGAAATAATAAAAATCAGAGCAGAAATAAATACTATTGAAACGAAAAAGGCAGTAGAAAGGATCAATGAGACAAAGAGCTGGTTTTTTGAGAAGATAAATAAAATTGAGAAACCACTAGCCAGACTTACAAAGAAAAAAAGGGAGAAAGCTCAGATAAACAAAATCAGAAATGAGTGA